ATGAATAAAAATTGATGAACATTAGGGTTATAGCTCATGAAATCTAAAAGATTTTTTATGATAACTTATTTACATTTGTTTGAAAAAATTGTGGTTTATAGCTTATAAAAAATCACAAATTCTAGTGTACACATAATAAATGTACTTTTGTGTAGGGTTATATAGCTCATGAAAATTGCGGATTGCGGTGCATTCATAATTTATTTACATTCATTCAAAAGGAATCAAAATTGCTAAAAGTTTTGGGCTATAGGCCATGCAAATTGCAAATGTTTAAAGTAAACATAAGAAATTCACACTCGTGCAAAACAAATTAAATTTTATAAAAATTATGAATTATATCTCATGAAAATCCCAAATTTTGGTGTGCACATAATTTATTTATATTTGTTCAAAGCAATCCAAAATTGTCAAAAATCTCGGGTTTATGAAAATCGTTGATTTTGATTTGCATAGAATAAATTTACTTCTATTGAAATTGGACTAAAATTGGCAAAAATTGTGGGTTAAGAGTTTATGAAAATCACGAATTTTGATATACAAATAATTAATAATATATATACATTCGTTCAAAATGAACCAAAATTATCATCACAAATTTTGATGTATATATACGAAATTTATTTTTATTTAAAAATGAACCAAAATTGACAAAATTCGTGAGTTATACGTCATGAAAATCGTGAATCTTTGTGTGCACATAATTTACTTATATTTTTTCAAAATAAATGAAAATTGACATAAATCGTGGGTTATAGTTTATAAAAGTTGAAAGGTGTACACATAATATATTTACATTCTTTCAAAATGAACCATAATTGTTAAAATTCGTGAATTATAACCCGTGAAAATAATAATTTTTGGTGTACACATACTAAATTTTCATGCGTTCGAAATAAACCAAAGTGGACAAAATTTGTGAGTTATGACTATTAAAATCTTAAATATTTGGTGTACACTTAATTTGTTTACATGCTAAATTTGTGAGTTATTTTCATAGGCTATAACCCATGAATTTGTGACTTATAACTATTAAAATCTCAAATCCTGGTTTATAGCTCATGAAAATCACAAATTGTGATGTATACATGCTAAATTTGCTTTTGTTCAAAATGAACCAAAATTGACAATAATTCATGAAAATCGCAAATTTAGGTGTACACATGATTTATTTATGTTCGTTTGACACAAACCAAAATTGACAAAGATCGTAAGTTATAGCCCATGAAAAGCATGAATTTTAGTGTACACACGATTTATAAACATTTGTTCAAAATTAACTAAAATTGTCAAAAATCTTTGGTTATAGCCCATGAAAGTCACAAATTATGTATGCATAATAAATTTCTCTCGTTCAAAAACTAACCAAAACTAACAAAAATTGTTGGTAGCTCATGAAAATCGCAAATTTTAATATACACATTTACTTTTGTTCGAAACTAACCAAAATTGAACAAAATTGTGGGTATATTTTACAAAATTCGCGTTTTGATGTGCATGTAATTTATTTTTAGTTGTTCAAAACAAACAAAATTATTAAAAGTCTATAATAGCCCACAAAAATCATGAATTTTTGTGTACACATAATTTATTTGCATTCATTTAAAAAAATGAACAAAAATTATGGGTTATAGCTTATGAAAATCGTGAGTTTTGATGTACATATGATTTATTTTCATTCGTTAAAAACCTAAGTTGCGCCAGTACGAGTGCGGGTGCGGGTGCAGGTGCAGGACAAGAATAGGAAAACAGCTAAAACTCATCGGATTTAATTATAGTTCTGAGCTATATATGTAAATAACCCTTGTAAATAGTAGTTCTTAAGGCTGAAACAAATCTATCCTTATCCAAGTTAAAATGGATGTGAAGTGTGGATATATATATATCCAAGATGTGTTTGACCAATGTTTTAAATTAAACATGCATTGTATAATTGAATACAGGTCTAAATAAATATATGCATATATTTAAGGAGTGTCCAAGAAGTGTCTTGTACGGGAAGAACACGTGTAAATACCTATGTAAGATAGTTCAAAATGAACCAAAATTATCAAAAATCGCGGGTTATAACCCATGAAATCGTAAATTTTGATGTAAACATATTAAATATAGTTTCATTCGAAACGAATTAAAATTGACAAAATTTGTGGGTTATAGCCTATGAAAATAACCAACTTTGATGTACCCATACTAAATTTACTTACATTCAAAAAAACACACGACAATTACTAAAATTTGTAGGTTCATGAAAATTACAAATTTTGGTGTACACAATTTATTTTCATTTTTGTGGTTTCATGAAAATTACGAATTTTGGCGTACACAATTTATTTTCATTTATTCAAAATAAACCAAAATTGATAAAAAATCGTCAGTTATAATTATGAAAATCACAAATTTTGATGCACATAATTTATTTACAATTGTTTAAAAGAAACCAAAATTGTCAAAAATTGTGGGTAGCTTATGAAAATCACAAATTTTATAGTAAATATAATAATTTTATATTAATTCGAAATGAACAAAAAATGGCCCATAAAAATCACAAATTTTGTACACAATAAATTTATCAAATTGACAAAAATTGGTAGGTTATAACCCATAAAAATTGCAAATTTTGATGCACACATACTAAAATTATTTTCATTTAACACGAACCAAAATTGACAAAATTGTTGGTTTATAGGTCTTAAAAAATCTTGCGTTATAGATCTTAAAAATTCATGGTTTTACATTAATTTGAAACAAACAAAAATTGACGAAAATTGCGGGTCATAGCTTATGGAATTCAAGAATTTTCATTTATACATAATTTATTTGCATTTGTTAAAAATGAACCATAAATGACAAAAACTACGAGTTATAGCCCATAAAAATCGTGAATTTTGATATACACATACTAATTTTCTTTTGTTTTAAATGTACCAAAATTCGTGGGTTATAAGCTCATGAAAATGGCAAATTTTGATATACATGTACTAAGTTTACTTTCGTATAAAACAAACCAAAATTGACAAAATTTGTGGGTTATAGCTCATGAAAATCACAAATTTTGATATACTAATAATAAATTTATTTTCTTTCAAAATAAATCAAAATTGACAGAATTTGTAGGTTATAACCCTTGAAAATCGTAAATTTTGATATATAGATACTAAATTTACTTTTGTTCAAAACGAAGCAAAATTGGGGAAATTTATGGGTTATAGATAATGAAAACCGCGAATTTGGTGTACATATAATTTCTTTACATTCGTTCGGAGTAAGCTAAAATTGACAAAAATCATGGATTATATAGCTTATGAAAATTACAAATTTTGATATACACGTAATTTATTTACATTCATTTAAAAGGGTCTAAAACTTCAAAAGTTGTGGGCAATATCTCATGAAAATCGCAAATATTTTGTAGTGCACGTAATAAATTTACATCAACTCGAAGCGAACAAAAATTGTCGAAATTTTGGGGTTATAGCTTTTAAAATCAAGAATTTTGATGTTCACATAATTTATTTACGTTTGGTCAAAATGAACCATAAATGTAAAAAATTGTGGGCTCTAACCCATGAAAATCGCAAATTTTGATGTACACATATAAATTTACTTTCACTCGAAATAGATCAAAATTGATAAAATCCATAGGTTATAATCTTTGAAAATTGTAAATTCTGATGTATGTATACTAAATTTGCTTTCGTTCAAAATGAACCACATTTGACAAAATTCATAGGTTATAGATCTTAAAAATTGCTAATTTTTATGTACACATAATTTATTCACATTCATTCAAAACAAACCAAAATTATTGAAAATCGTGGTAATAGCGCATGAAAAGCCCATGAATAGATTTTGATGTACACAAAATAAATTTACTTTCATTCAACACGTAGCAATATTGACAAAATTCGTAGGTTATAACCCATGAAAACCACAAATTTTGATGCCCACATAATATATTTACTATTGTTCAAAATGAACTAAAATTGAAAAAATTGGTAGGTTATTAACCCATAAAATCGTAAATTTTGATGTATGTTGAAAACGAATCAAAATTGACAAAATTCGTTGGTTATAGATCTTAAAATTGTGAATTTTTATGTACACATAATTTATTTACATTTGTTCAAAACCAAAATTATCGAAATCATGGGTTATAGTCCATGAAAATCGCATTTTGATGTACGCATATTAAATTCACTTTCGTACAAAATGAACCAATATTGACAAAATTCATAGGTTATAGCTCTTGAAAATCATAAAGTTTGATGTACACATACTAAATTACTCTTGTTTGAAAGTAATCAAAATTTACAAAATTTGTGGATTATAGATCTTAAACATTGTAAATGTTTATGCACGCGTAACTTATTTACATTCGTTCAGAACTAACCAAAATTGTCAAAATCATGAGTTATAGCCTATGAAAATCACAAATTTTGATATACTCGTACCAAATTTACTTTCATTCAAAAGGAATCAAAATTTACAGAACTCGTGGGTTATAGCTTGTGAACTTGTGAAAATCACGAATTTTTATGTATTGTTAATTTATATTTGTTCAAAATGAATCAAAATTGTTAAAAATTGTGGGTTACATTTCATTAAAATTGCAAAATTTGATGTACACCTGTGAGATTTACTTTTTTTTTTTAAAATGAACCAAAATTGACATGATTTGTGGGGGTATAGCCTATGAAAATTATGAATTTTGGTGTACACAAATTATATACATTCGTTCAGAATGAACAAAAATTAACAAAATTCGTTGATTATAGCCTATGAAAATCGTAAATTTTGATGTACACAATACACATACTAAATTTGAAAGTTTGTGGCAATTTCTTTAATAATATGGTACTAGTGTGCAAAATCATACTAGTTCATGGTAGTTATGTTAAATCTTACGCTTATTCAACTCCAGAAAGCATCCGAAGGCTGTATAGTTTGACAAATCTTTAGATGTGTTGTATATGTACGTGACGCACATATTTCACTTACAGTGACAGTATGGGGTTTAAATTGCTTGCAGTGGAAGGCATGGGTAAATGGTGGAAGCAGCCTGATGAAGGGTGAAGTTTAATTGTTTCTATGTTAAAATATTGTATTCTTTATAATATTCTGTTATCTCTATTAATGCTTTAGTTATTATCCTCATTCCTGTTTTCAGTTCCAGGCTTAACTAAATATGGCCCGAGAGTTGTAGCACGTAGTATTAAGCCGATTAAGAAGGGCGAGGAAGTTTGCATTGCATACACAGACCTATTGCAGCCTAAGGTACAGTGCTATTGATTAATGGAAGAATAACACTTCTCTAGTTGAAAACTTTTAGTTTGCCAAGCAGCTGTATTTGACAATTCTTAATGTTCCATTATCACCATTGTCTAACCAGCAGATATTTGTTTCTTTAGGAAATGAGACACTGTGATTTATGGTCTAAGTATCGATTCGTCTGCTGTTGTGAGCGGTGTAGTGCGTTGCCGGAGATGTATGTGGACTCCATTTTGAAAGTAATAAATCAACTTCTTTTAACATTCATTTTGTTTTCATGGTCATGATGGTCATTGGAGTTTTTCCCATTAAAAAATGGGGTCAGCTACTAAGCAGCACATTGTGTGTTCTGTTAACCTTTTCAACATTGGTTGTCATCATTATCAGGATGGTCATTGTAATTTTTTCCCCCATCAAAGTGGGATCAACCATAAAATATGACTAAAATTCATGAGAGCTCCATAAAGCAGTTGATATTCTCTTACAGTTATTTGTCAAACTTGTCAAATTCTTCACCAAAGCTACCATCCTTATGTGGAGGTCTTTCCATAGAAATTTTAATCGCCACTTTGCATCTACGAAAATCTACAATTTAAGGGTATTCAATTTATGAATGCAGCGCTTGTAAAGAGCAAATCTTTTAAATATATGAATTGTTTGGTTCACTTTTTCTTCTTCACAGCGCATTAGCGCTACATGTGATTAGTTAGCTGCGCACATTATTGTATTAGAGCTTGTGTAATCTACATCTTTCAGGTGCATAGTGTACGAATTTAGTGCTTAACTATTTGTGTCTTTCTGGGGATTTGTTTTAACAATGTGGCAAGCTCTATTTGTTGAGGATGTTGTTTGGCTGAAAGACAAGAGAAGGGATGGTTTCTATGAAGTAATAAAAAGCTTACTAGAGTCTAAAAAATTAGCGAGATGAGAACTAATGTATGGAAATGTAGCTTCCAAAACTTATAAGAAAGGCTGTAATCTGCATTAGTAGCCAATTCATTTCTTAGGAATGATGTTAATCATTCATCATGAAGGACGAAGAGGTTTATTTGTAGACTTTGAGGATGTTTGGATGCCTTGCGCTTTTATCTTGACCAATATTAATACAAGAACTAAGATTTACTGTCCTCTCTTCATTCTGCACTAAATTTCACAAGTTGAAGTGCTAGGTTTTAATACAGCATGCAACCTCTTTCAGAGTGATGCTTGGAGCTTGGTTACCAATCATGACAACTCCAAAGAAGCAGATTGTGATGATCTCGCTGAATTTTTAGACCAGACTATTGCTGAATACATGTCTGATGGAAATCCTGAAGCATGCTGTAAAAAGCTCGAGAACATGCTTTGTGGAATCCTGGAAGGTTCACCAATCCAAGAACCTTCCAAAACAAATTTCAGGCTTCACCCTCTTCACTATCTCTCCCTCAATGCTTATATTGCACTTTCATCTGCTTGCAAAGTTTTATCAACTAATTTGCTAGCTACAGATTCCAACAAACAGAGCAAATCCAGGGCTTCTAATGTGCACAGAGCTTCTGTAGGTTATTCTTTGCTGCTTGCAGGTGCAACCCATCATCTGTTCATGTCTGAATCATCATTGTTGGCAAACTCCGCAGTCTTATGGGTAAGTGCCGGAGAATCTATAATCGACTTTCTTAGAATTTCTTGCAAAACTAAGTTCAAGTTATATTCACATCCCGAGTTCCCGAGAGAAGCTTATAAATGCAAGGAGACATCTTTGAGGTTCTTAGAATGCATCTCGAAGAAATTGACATGGTCATGGCTGTACTTGGTTCGAGGTTTATATTACTTGGAGAATGTTAAGAGCCCAGTTGACTTCAGTTGGCTGGGACTTGAAAATACATGTCAAGTTACTGAGGACTGGAGAAATGCTGCAGAATTTTGTTTGTGCGATGAATACAAGTTCGAGACTGAGACATGCATTGAAGAGTATAGGACACTCGAACAGGTAGCTGTTTGTTGCCTGGCTTATGGTAAGTATCTAGCAACAATCTGCTGGGGACAGGAGAGTTATTTGGTTCATAGAGTTGGGAAATTATTTCATGATATCATGTAAAAGTGCCATTGTGTTTTTATCCTTGTCATGGGACTTTATTATATATATATTTTTTTTCTAATTGTGATTAGTTTGCTTATGGTAACCCATGTCCATTGTATTAGCCCATGGTATCCCTATGATGGGTTAACTGGGGACTAGTTGTCCTCCTTTGTTTTTTAGCTAATGTAGTCACTTTTAAATGTTTTTTACTTGGTTTGTTTAGACCATGTTAATTTAATGGCCTTTACCCTCCATGCTTAGTAAATACTAAATTACGGTGGGTGGTTATAGATTTTGTATCAGTTATTTACCAGCATCAATTAGTTCATAGTCCTAATAGGATCTTGACCTTTATTATCCTTGATTTAATACATCAGTTCCTCATTACCAACTGATTACATGATAATGATGTCAGGAAACCATCATTATAGAATCTTCTACTGATGGTTTTTTATTTTTGTGGGGTGGGGGGTGTTAAAAGGAAATTAGATACTTAGAAGAGAAAAGGGGGGCATTATCCATCGAATTATTATGTGGAAAATAACTTTATTGGCACGGTATGTTGGTCGCCGAAATGTCATCATCATTTGAAACCCTTGGAGATTAGATATAACTATTTTTCTATAAATTATCTTTGGCTTCCAATGAATCAAAATTTTGAGGTTTAGCATAGTATCTAGACTACAACTTTTGAAAATGTAGTTTGATCAGAGAAAAATAAACTTATCTGAGGAAGGCTTTCCTTCGAGGTTAAGGATCTCAAGTTTTCAGTTAATGTGGACACATGCATTAATCTCTCATTCAAGAAATGATATTGATTTCAATACTTTGTCACATAATGAGGTAGACTTCCTGAAAAAGATTTACTATGGTTCTTCAGTTTGTTACCCCTACAAAAAGGCAATTAACCCTAAAGTAATTTGTTTACTAAGCCAGGTTTATTGATTACACAAGCGTCGTAGCATGAGCAGCAGCCGCAGATGACCAGAAAGGGCTCCACAATAATAGACAGTTAACAGACCGTGTATATCCTTCATTGGATTATGCTTGCCGACGTGATGAGGCGTTTCATGTAAATATCTCAACTACCCTAATAAACTAACGGTTGTTGGATAAACCCAACCACCAGTCTCCATTAATGCGGGCCCCATTAATCACGATGTAGAGATTGAAATCAAGAACGCGCCCAAAAAAAAAAAAAAAACACTAATGTTATCTTGCAACAAATTAATTTTCTATTGATCAAGATGGAGGTCTAGGTTCTATGTTCCCAAACAGTATTTGAGAATGAGTGCTGTTACGGGGACCTAAAATATGAGACCAATGAAGGTGACAGGTGAGGAGTCCCCTCCCTATTGCATAATGAGTTGGTCATGCCAACTCATTATGCAATAGGGAGGGGACACCTCACCTGTCCCCTCCCTTGGTCCCATATTTTGGGTCCTTAAAACATTTTCCTTTGAGAATGAGTACTGCTACGGGGATCCAAAATATGAGACAAAAGGAGGGGACATGTGAGGTGTCCCCTCCCTATTGCATAATGAGTAGGGAGGGGACACCTCACCTGTCCCCTCTCTTGATCTCATATTTTAGGTCCTTAAATCATTTTTTTTTGAGAATGAGTGCTGCTACGGGGACCCAAATTCTATTGTTAGTAGTTTTTCCTCATCTGTTCCGTTCAGCTGCAAATTCTATTGTTAGTAGTTTTTCCTACTTACGATATTCTTTAAGATTTGTTTCGTTAAAATCCTATTAATATAACACGGAGAGTAGTCACTCGATATTTTAAAGAAAAAAAAACTAACCTGCACAAAATTAACACTTCTAATGCATGGACAGATGGCAGAATTTTATTTTTCAATCAAAATCATTCACCATGTCATGTGCAGTTAAATTTTGCCTTGAATGAAACATAGCGATCACGAAGAAAAAGATTATATCCGTGATAATCACGACTTTTCTACATATATATATACAAATTAATGATTGTGAATTAGAAAATGATCTCCCGCGTGCTAAAGAAAAATTAAAAAGGATGCAAATTGTCTATCACCCACTACCTCACCAATTGTCGCATCATAATTCGTGCGGTTTGTATAATTTAGGATGAGAAGAATCAACATAACCACCACCATATAAAGAAAATTTTTACAAAATAGACCTATTTTGCTAAATATTTAGTAAAACAGACCGTTTTGCTAAATATTTAGCAAAATAGATCCCTTTTTAGCCTGTTAAGAGGTCTATTTTGTTAAATATATAGCAAAATAGATCTGATTTGCAAATTTTCCCTGTATAAATGGAGTAATGTTGTTATTTCTAGTCACCAAGCTTTGCGAGGAACACGGTAGGCCCCCAATTGGGTCATTTTCTCATCACCCGTGGTGGGAAATGGATAGAGGTTGGGCCCACCATTTGAAAATGAAAATAGCATAAGTCTAGAAGCAATGATATCATCGCTTCCTAACGCCGTTCAACATGATGTTTCTATCAATCCCCAAATCCTGGGGACTCGACAAAGGAAGTTTCAATTATAGGCTGTAAACGGGTTTAGTTTCCTAATGAAATAGGCAATTGGGATCCTAATCCTATCGCCTGTCATTTACCGGTCCATATTCCAACTTTGATTTTTAAGAAGAATTTTTAAAAACTATACAACTTTTTTTTTTTGAACTGAAAAACAAGGTGAGGTACCATGTTCATATATATATATATATAAAAGCATAGGAACTAAATAGAGATGACAAGAAGATAAAAACTCACAGATGGCCTATGGAAAGGATCTAAGTAAAGAGGAGGCTGGTAAGGAGCGGACCTTGTCGTCACCTACCAAACTCACTTTACTAAGATCCTTCAACAAAGACCCAAAAACAAAAGAAAAAGCACACTTTCTAACAACTCACACTACTGAGAGTTCTGAAATCACAAAAGCTACAAACACGAAGTCTTTCTAAAAACTGGCATTAAGCAGCTTACTGACGGGAGAGTAAGTCGCATCGACGGCGAGAATAGAAATAAGAACTGGAACGACAACTTGGAGAAGAAACCTTCCAAGTCAGAGAGCCTCGGAGAAGTTGTCATCGCAATCACCAGCGATGTTCGACTTGACTAGGTCCTGCAGCTTCAAGTTATGGGCAGCCCTACGAGTGCGTTTCGCCACTCTCTCCTCTTCTGCCCCTGTCCAAAACCAGTCACATCTAGCAATGTTAGCAGCTATGAGGATGGGGTTAGCAGGGACGTCTCTGAAAATAAGCTGATTTCTACAGTTCCACATTCCCCAACAAAAACATAGCAACTATACAACTTTTACCTGTTGTAGTCCTTAAACATGCGCCTCCTTCTAATGGGTTCCACGATTTTGAACGAACTTTTCTCCGGTCTGTCGAATGGAATTTTGATTTTGATATACGGCTATTACCGCCATATGAGTCAATTTTGCCAACCCGAGCCATCTCTGTTCTCTTTTTTGTTTCTCGGATGACTGAGATCAAATACAACACAAGTGCATGTAATACAAAATATTACATCACATAAAAAATAATCGTGACTGTCGAAAAGGGTGATGATCCAAATTTTTAGGATCAACAACATAAATCATATTCTTCCATTCAATTCTATTCTATTACATTCTTAAATCACTTCTCAAAAGGTTTTTAAGGCCTACTTCTAATCCTCTTTACTCCGTTGTAAATGACCAAATAATAAAAGTCTAAAAAAAATCACAAGGATCCTACAAATATTCCCGTTAAAGGACGGACGTGTAATCAATTAAGCCACTAATCACGTTCATTATCAACAATGAAGTCACATTCATCCTCCAATCAAAACTCCCCCGCCCATCTTTTGCTTCGCTGGACCTAAACCACGCGGTATCGTCACCGCGTTCAACCCCCATCAGTCCCTATAAATACCCCGCCAAATCCTCAACAAAATCAAACCATCACCAGCAAAAAATTGACAAGCGACAAGTCTCATCATCAGCACTTCATTTTTTGATCCAATGGCTGAGGAGAAAGAACACCACCACCTGTTCCACCACCACCAGGAGGGGACTCCAGCTGAAGAGCTGAAGCATCACAAGCACAAGGAGCATCTCGGAGAGATGGGTGCTGTTACTGCTGGAGCCTTCGCTCTGGTACGCTCCTTTTAATCCTGACCGTTGATTTATAACCGTGTCGCTCGTAAGTTATAAAATACAAATCTTATCAAAACAGTCCCTACATATCCATCATTAAGGTCAGGACCACCTTACAAGTCATGTCAAAAGGTGTGGACCTCACCATTCTATTAGCAAAATGAGTCATCGCCTCATATCCATCATTCCCTAATACTGTTACTTGTAATCTTGTCGTGGGTCAAGCATCGTGCTGGACCGGGGGAATTTTTTTTTTTCTAGGAATGATGTTGAATTTCATTTAAAATAGCAAGTAATGTCTCCCTTGGGATTTAATTGATGATTCCGATTTATTAATTTTCAGTATGAGAAGCATGAGTCAAAGAAGGACCCAGAGCACGCTCACAAGCACAAGATTGAAGAGGAGGTCGCGGTCCATGAGAAACACGAGAAGAAGGAGGCCAAGAAGGAGGAGAAGGCCGAGGGCGGCAAGAAGCACCACCACCTCTTTTGAATTATTAATTAATTAATTAATTAAGAGGGTGCATATTAATTATCCTTAATAAGAGCCCTTTATATGGCTCTTTTGTGTGTTTGTTTATAACGATTGTATCTTATATTACTTGTGATTTGGCTCCTGTTTGAATACAGTATTGGTGTTTTGTATAGAGCTTCATGAGCGATGGGTTAAGGTTTTCTCACGGAACAAAAATCAGTAAAGAAGGGAAAACAAAGTTACAAAGAACAAGATGCAATTTCTCAATGCTTCAATTATTAGGGGATGCTTGATAACTGGATTGGAGAATCCAGCATCTTCAAATGGGATATCCTGGTGAACAATAAAAATCTTCGAGCTTATACGCATATACGCGTGACAACGACAAGTTTGCCAATAAAAATTTCTAGTTTAGAGTTTAGATATTGTAGGCAAACTTTAGAAATCTTTCCCATAAACATGGCAAGCTGGATTCTGGATTCCACTGAAGACAAATGCGCGCATGTAACATGTTAAAGCGTCCTCTATATCATAAGAGCATCTCCAGCAGCCGTTGCCAAGGGGAGTGCTCATCTGTTCGTGTCAGAGCTCCATGTGTTGCTAATCATTGGAGGAGCAATGGAGCCAAGTAAAGTTGTCAAAATTTAGCAACCGCTCCAACCCTTTTTTCCAATTTTTATAATTAAAAAAATAATATATAAAAAGTAATATGTGAGATCATGTAGGCAACCTTTGGAGTTGCCAACTACCGGACCATTTTTTGAATAAAACTATAAAAGTTGACAAAAATGATGTGGATGAGAGAGAAAATAAAAGATTAATATTTGTGATGCTTTGGCAAGATTTGGTAACCTCAAAAATAGTGCCACCATTGGAGATGCTCAAAGGTGTACATAATTTATTGGAGAAGATGATAATAAAAACTATGATATAACATGTACGAGCATATAAATCCAAAAGATAACCATCGTGTCGCAAACACCAACTAGAATTAAACAATGGGCGTCTACTTCAGAATACGTCCAACATCAAGTGAGAAGAAACATGTGAAGACACGTGTCCCTCCAATAATTTAAGATTTACAGGGAGAGATTTGTAGAATCTTGAACTGGCCTCTTAAATCTCATAAATTAATGAATCAGTATATATACAAACTTAGACCATAAAACCATTGGAAATAAGATGGTTCAATTTGATTTTCAGGGTGAGGGCGTGGAAAATATTTCTGATATTATTAAAGGTTCTATGATGTG